CGATCCTGGGGAGTGGATACGTGTTCTTCACTGTCAATCGGTTCAAATCCCAGTAATCGATGCACATACGCAAGGTCCCGTCCTTCTTCTTCACGAAAAGGACAGGTGCTCCCCAAGGAGAGACGCTCGGCCGGATGAAGCCGAGACCCAACAACTCCTGAATCTGAGCCTTCAACTCCTGAAGCTCTTTCGGTGCCATACGATACGCCACTTTCGACACTGGCCCAGCTCCAGGCAGCAGGTCGATCGTGAACTCCATCTGACGACTAGGTTGTCCTCCCGGTAGCTGATCCGAAAAGACATCCACAAAATCTCTCACTACGGGTACATCTCCGGGCATGCGCTCCTCCGAAGGTTCCCCGAGTATAGTGACTAGATAGCCCTGACAATCCTCCCTCTGTAGGCACTTAGTCGCCTTCGCCATGGAAATGATACGCGGTAAAGTCCTCGTCCTCTTCCCGAAAAATGTGATATGGTCTCCATCGGCTAAGTGCAACTTCACCTCTCTATCACGGCATCGGATGTCTGCGTGATCTCTCCAACCAATCCATGCCGAGAATAAGGTCAAAGTCCCTCATCTCGATCACGAATGCGTCTACCTCTAGAGTTCTGCCTCCAATACACATGCTAAGGTTCTTGGCCAGGGAACTCGTGACTATCTTCCTCCCCGAAGCTAGGTTGATCTCAAGGGGGTCGACGTCACTCACACCCTGGACCCCTATGGCCTCTAGACACTTGGCCGAGACGAACGAATGTGTCACCCCAGTATAAGACAGGTACATCGAGTAAAGAGAGCATGCCAGACATGGTACCTGGCTGCTCGGCGGCCTGCTCCTGGTCAAGTGCGTAAATGCGGGCAGGTGCACCTCGAGGTGGGTGCTGAGCTGGCTGTCTCGGTGCTGGTTGTGTATGAGCTGGCGGTCTCTGGCCCTGCTGGGGCTGTGGGCGATCTGGGTAGTCTGCGATCCTATGACCGGGCCTGCGGCAACGATAGCAAATGTCCTGCCCATCTAGGCACTCTCCCCGGTGGACGCGCTGACAAGTAGCGCAAATAGCTGGGGGCTGCGGGACTGGTGGTGCTGCCTGAGCTGGGGCTCCTGGTCGACGGTTCCTCCTATCGACGCGACCTCTCCACTTCCTCTTGTGCCGGTGCTGCGCCTGCTGAGGTGGCGCTGGCAGGGCTGGCTGGATGGCAGCTGGCTGTCTGGCTAGTGGTGCCACTTGAGCTAGTGGCTGTGCAGGAGTGTCTAACAGCTGGGATGCCTCAATCTGCTGAGCTCGCTCAACGGTCTCAGCATAAGTCAAATAGCCATGGCTAGCTACGAGCACTCGAAGGTCTCTGGTCAGGCCATTGCGAAAATGGGAGGCCTTCTTGTCGTCGGTGTCCACAAGATGGTGTGCAAAGGCGCTCTTACGAGCGAACTCCCGCTCGTACTCCTCAACCGAGCGGTCTCCCTGAAGCAAGTCATAGAACTCTCGCTCCATCCTCTCGCGAAAGTGGCGAGGGTAGTACTTGGCCTCCAAAATCCCCTTAAGGTGATCCCAAGTCAGCTCGTCTCGCTCATCAGTTGTCCTGAGACGCCAGTAGTCGTCCCACCAGTCTCCGGCTGCACCCTCTATCTGAAACTCGGCACAAGCGACCATGTGTTGGTCGGATATGCCCATCATCCGGAAAATACGATCCATCTTGCGGATCCAGTCTCCTACAGCCAACGGGCCCTCCTCTCCAATAAAGACCGGAGGGGTGTAAGTCCGGAACTGGGTTGCGACTATTGACTGATCCCGCTCTGCGGGTGGAGCTCTACGGGGCGGCATTCTGAATAGCCAAATAACAACTTGATTAGTATAGTCAATTAATAAATAGCTACACTACTTGACGAATTTAAATAATTTACTGAAAATACCTAGCTTGGCTAGAGTCTCGGTTTCTGCTTAACTCTACTGATTCTAGCTTGAATTCTGATATAGTCTAGAGTTGGACTTATCTAAACTTTCTAAAATTCTGTCTAGAGTTCTCTTTCTAGTCGGAGGATAGATGACCCCTAAGATCTCTTACTATATTCTCATGCACTTGCAGAAATTTAAAAACTTAGGTGACTTACCTCGGAGTCGGCGCGGCGCGAGCGTGGCGTGGTCATGCTTTTCTAAACTTTTAAGTATACAGAACCACAAGGTGGCTCTGATACCAACTGTAATACCCCGCCTAATTATTCTATAATTTATAAAATCAGAGTAAAATTTTTGCTTTTTGTTTTCGAAAAAATCTTAAACTTTATTTTCGAAAATACTCATACTAACTCGCGGGATGCTACTAACTTAAACTCTTTCTCATGCAGACGTAAATAAATACATGCAACCTAATCAAATCCGTTATACAAAGGTACCACGGAGATAAAGGCATTATACATGCATAAGTCTGATAATCTCATAATACATACTAAGTCTGAAATGTGCGGAAGCTGAAATATAATATGTCTACGCATAGTAATAATAATACATGTTCAATAAATGACATGTAAATGCGTTACAAAAAGACTGCTAATGACCACGACCACCACTGAAATCTCACGCACCACACGCCGCTCCGTCACATGAAAAATGTAATGGGGGCGTGAGCAAAACCACTATGCTCCGCAAAGACCAGTACTTAATTATATAGCATCGTTAATTACAATATCATGACTTTAAGTATATAAGAACTGATCTGAACTGAAACTGTAACTAGGGCATCTGGTGGTCATAAAGACCATGGGCTTAAAAGCCAATCATGTGCACACTCCGAGGGATCATTAAGGTCAATTAAGGCCTCCCTCAGAACCACGGGGGATCATTAAGGCCCGCAACGACCTCCCTCATGGTGATCTAACTATTTCTCATACATACCTCGGACATGGTACGGAAATTAAAGACGATGTATAACCAGCACGTGACCCCCACCTGATAAGCTGGTGCTAGGCGAGTGCTGAATGAAAGGTAGATGTCGGAGGCTCGACTCTCCTTAAGCTACAACAATTTAATAAAAATATTTTTAAGTCTGGAACTAAAATCTGACTTAATCTAATCTAATTGAAATGTATCTGGATCTTTAATCTATCTGGAATCCTAACTTTATCTGAAATCTTATATATATCTAAAATCTTAAACTGAAAAACTCGAATCTTATTATCTTTTGTAACTTTAATATATCTCCTTAGCGAAATTAATCACTTTGCTCGATTAAATAATTTCTCGATTAACTCTTCAGATACTCTATCGAAGTTTAACTAATTATCTAAATTAATTAATTTACTGCATGCTCACACAAATAAGTGCTGAGGCATAAACTAACATCACAGTAAAAAGATAAGGACATTGTTGTTTATTTGACATGAATCTTTTCTTATATGTAATAGAGATAATAGTGACTACTATTGATGTTTGTGTGTCTGCTCAACAAAGTCATGCAAACTAAATCCAGACAAATTTCCATTGCCCAACATATATTTAAAAGCTTTCATGAATTATATTGAAAACCACTTTCAAGCCATATTCGACCAATATACTAATTCTTATTCTCTAACTTTTCGACACATTTAGCCAACATAATATTTGAATATAACAACATCAGGACATCTTATTAATTCAAATCCAATTTCACATAATTCATTCTTTTCTTTTCTTATATTTTTAAATAAAGTCTTAAGCATGACATATACTTCATCTTTTACCTAAACCTTAACACATTAAACCCATCATTTCAACAATATCATGATATGTGAACAGGTTCAAGATATTTTCCCCATTCAAAGCATAATAACATACTTTTTCTTTATTATTATATATATATATATATATATATATATATATTTTTTTTTAAACCCTTTAATATTCTCTTTAGCATTCTTTATTCTCTTCTTCTTAAATCTTTAAACTCTAAAATTTGATCT